AGTTTAAAAAAGAGGAATGGGATCGAGACACCAGAACAGGTGCACAGTCCTAGCAGAAGACTCCACAAGGAAATAAACATACTAAAATTACAAATGCAGTATTGTAAATACACACTAATGAGAACAACAATATAACTGATTTAAGTATGACAACTTAAATGATTAATGTTGTATTCCTGGCTGATTTCTTTAACACTGAGAGCACACATGTTTTGAATTTTGAACATAGRAAATTGAGTTGTGGCTTCCAGAGCTCTATTGTCTAACGTATAACAAAACACTGTGGTACTTTTGTTGCCTAGGGCAAAGCAGTAATATACTTGCTGCAGGAAATCTGATTTTTGTTTTTATCTAATCATTTAATTTATCTTAATGGCTCTGGGTGTGGGATTTTACATGTCATAAACCCATCACTCCCAGATGACAGCTGCTTTACAATGTAAATAAGCTCRGGGTGCAGCGCAGGGGTCAGCAGGGGCTTCAGCGTGGTTCAGCATGGAGGGACAGGCTGCCCCCAGTCACTGAGCGGGCTGCCCAGGCCGCAGGGTCCTGTGGGGGGGACAAGACCATGGGGCAGCAACGTGCCCTGGGGGGCAAGGCGACCCAGGGTACCCCACCTGTGAGCAGGGCAGGGGGATGATCCTCCCTTCACGGCCCTGGCAGAGCCGCACGCGCACGGCTGTGACTGGCACCAGGCTCCCCAGCATGGGAGAGACACGGAGCTCCCGGGAAGGCCAGTGCAGGGCTACAAAGATGGTGAAGGCTCCAGCGTGTCTCACAAGGGAAGGCTGAGAGCGCTGGGACTATTCAGCCCGGAGAAGTTTCAAGGGGATCTAACCAATGGGTATGAGTATCTGCAGGATGGTGTAAAGAGGATGGGGCCAGCCTCTTTTTGGGGTGCCCAGTCATAGAGCAAGAGGCAACAGGCACAAACTGAAACCTAGGAAATCATGYCTGAACATAAGGGGGAAAAAAAATCAGCAGAACGATGGGCAGGGGCCTACAGGAACCATCTGCTGGAACAGGTATCGTTCAGAGCGGGGACTGGCCTGGCCTCCAAGCCCTCAACCCAAGCGCTTGCAGCACAGCTCATAAAGCAAGGAAACACCTGAGAGCTCAGCATGTCCACTCCTGAACTGCCACACARAGAGAGATTCACCACGAACAGAGATTACTGGGTTTTATGCAATAAAAAGCTTACTATACCTTACAGTAAAATCATAGGAGCAAGAGGCCAACAAAGTGGCATGGAATGGTGAAAACTGCAAGAAAACAAAACAGAACAACTTTTAAAGTATAAACATTATGAACAAATTCAGAGATTTCTTGTGAGTAGTTACCACAGTTTAATTAGTTGAACCACCCAGGTGCCCATTTCAGGCCACAACTGAACAGGCTACTTCAATAAAACAAATTTAAGCACCATGTGACCAACTACAGTGAATGCTCTGTGGGATCCTGACTGTGTCTGACTTAACCAACTCTGCAATTTTATTATGGTCATATAAATGGTCATTAAATTCTGCTTTTGGCTGACAACCTGAGCATAATTTCATTATATAAAGAAACTTTCAGTAAAGTTATATGACCAGTTTTTCATCTCTCTTGTTAGGATGCACTTAAATTGAGCCTTACTACAGAGATGCAGCATATGCTTTATTGGCACCAATTCTATGTGCCAAAATTCTGTATTTACTTCAGGGAAGGGGAAAATTTGAGTTAAGTTGAAAAGCTTAATTTTACAAATTCATGGTTGTAAAACTTTACAAGCATTTCCACTAAGGAAAAAAAAAATTGTTATCATTCTGCTTTCCTGATCCCTAAGCATCAAAGAGAACAAAGAGAATGAAAACCCCAATTCCCTCAAAACTACCAAGTAAACTAGCAAGTCCAAGAAAAACTCGCACTAGGATGAGATGAAGATCTGTTTGAGTTCCTACAGACACAGAGCTTACCTGCAAAACAACTCTTAATCGCTACTAGCTCTGCTGACTTACCTTCTAAATTCCCTACATTTCCTATATTTTTCTGCAGAAGAAATAAAAACACAACAAAACATTTTTTATTTTGTACGTTGGAACCAGGAACAATAGATAGGAGGAAGCTGGTTTATGTAAATCAATAGTGTATTTCCCACTTCTCTCTTTGCTTCTTTGTTCTCAGAGCTTCTGTCAGTAGTATCACTAAGCTTAAATATCCTAGTATCTTACCTAAACCACTTTAACAAAATACCTAGGAATGCTACATACATAGGTCAAAAGGATTTGTGCATTCTACTTTCGCTTACACTTAGTTCCCCTAAACTGCAAGGTATTGACCATTTGACCACTTYTATATAGACAAAAGGGACCAACCTTTGTCTACATATCACCCAGCCCAACCCCCTGTATGTCACAGATCACTCTTTCTAGGGTCTTTTTAAGTGGCTCCAAAGACTGTAAWTAAAATTCTGTACGAGACCACAGCCAGCAAAGAATGACAGCAAAGGCAGCAAAGAACTGCTAAACACCAATATCTTTTACTGTACTAATTATCCCTAAATAACCAACATCACAGCTGAAATCTCGAGTGCTTATTCTCTCTTCCTAGCTACCGGATCACGTAAAATATTGCTGATTTCCTGGCAAGCGTGCCAACTAATTCAGTGATGGGCTATGGTGGAGGAAACACAACTTACTTTGACTCTCCTGATGGCATAGGTGTGCCCGAGCAAGACGAACAGGGGCTGGCGGACGTTGCGCAAGTCCCATCCTTTCAGACTACAGTCAACTGCGCCCGTCACCACCAAGTTCTGATGATCAGAAASAACACAGACACACCACACAATTAGCTACTACATTGCCACAATGCCCATCAAGGGAGTATTGATCACTGAAGTTAAATAAATTCAACCACGCTGATGAATAAATCATAAATGAGGTCCCCATTGTGTTAATTAAAGAGAAGTACAGACAATTTCCTTACTATAGTCTATAGGCAAAACAGTAAACCAAACTCCAGACGCCATTAACCTCTTGGAACAGCACTCTTCTAGAGATGAAGTTGGAGAATGAAAGTAAGAAGCAGCTAGACATGTTTATTGCTATATAAAAAAATATTAATACAGCACTGAAAGGGAAAAAAAAAAGGTATTTAATGGAAGTGATTCCATTTGGAAGGCAGTTGGGCAAAATGGATTATACCTCATCATACTTGCACCAGTCACAGCTCAAGATCTCGGCTTGGTGAGCTGGAATCACGAGTTTGACTCCGGGGGCTTTCACATCCCAAATTCTTAAAGTCTGGTCACCTAAAATAAAGAGAATTTGATTTTATTCATCAACTGATGAATCAGTTAAGAGATATTGTTAATACAGCACTACTGAGTACACAGTGATTTCTCACTTCTAAGAAAATCCAAACTATCCACAGACCAAATAAAACAAGCCCAGTAGAGTCAAGATGCATACAAGGAAGCACAACTTGTTTCATTTTATTACCAAAATCTCCATTATCTTTTTAAACTCAGATTAAGAAGAAATGGAATAAAATATTCAAATACATTTTTCTCGAGGAGCTTATTGTCCATTTCAAAGCTACCTTAGGAAATCAAAATGACGAACAAGTTTTCTCTGCAAGTCAGCAAGTAGGAGTACCCAAACTCATACTCTTGATCTGTATGAAATAAAGGGTAAAGGCAACTTACAACCAACTCCTTTCAACAAAATTAGAATTAGAGGCACTTCTCCCATACTAGCCACTGTGTGCTGAGACTGCACACAGAGCTTCCTTACAAGTTTAGGAGACAGTGTCACTCTGCTGCAACTTCTACTTATATTAGAAGCRACATTTGCTCTAATCTTGAACGCATATCTTAAGAATAGCCTTGGGACTACAGTACTACAGAGATTACAGAAAATTTGGCTCTAGTTGTTGGCTTTACCTCAGACTTCATGATTGTGAGAGATACTGTGCTCTTGATGGCTAAATTCCCCACTCGTAAGATGGGAAYGACACATGATTTATCCATTTTCATTCCCCTTGCCCATTTTAATACTTGCAAGGAGGAGAATGCCTGTTCCTGTGTGCACACACAGCACTCCCCAGAACGACACCCTGCMGTTGGTTGGAGCCCCAAATATCACTGCAGTGCCTGGAGCAACAGTGCAACATATGGAGAGGAGGAAAACAGGACCAGCAGGAGCTTGCTGGAAAAGGCAGCGTGCCTGGCTAATATGCCTGTGTGCATAGGGCAGACATCTATYGGAGTCTTAAGGCTTCTGAAGATATAATAATGTATTTAGAAAGCTTTTATTTTATACTTGATCAGATAAGAGCTTTGAAAGGGAAGCTTATATTTCACTACAGACAGGATAACATTTATAAGTAAATAAATATATATTTCCAGGTGAACTAGAATTGCTACAGAGGCCTCAGTAGCATTATTAGAGCCCCCAAAACATTTGGAAAAAAGTACAGCCAGCCAGTATCAGTTTTGACCTCAAATACACAAATTTCCCAATTATTTAATAAAAGAAAAAAATATGACCCATGAGAAAACAAACAAACAAACCATTATTTCCCTTCCATTTTTCCCCCATACCCCCATTTTCTTTTGAAAAACTGAATTTGGATGTTATTAATTCTGTCTGACCTTTTCRTGAATTATTTGAAAGGAGTAATGCCACCTTTTAGCCTTCTGAACCTCTTTTAGGCAAAGGAACAGAYTGAATTAGAGCCAACATCAAAAACTTCCATCTTTCCATTTAAGTTGCAAGGGAAAGAGTCAGAAAAGATCAAGAAAGAGTTTGGRGATTTTTTGKTTTTTTTCTTTTGCTTTTTTTAACTTAAGTGATTAATAGTGTAATCCTGACACATCACATATTTGGGCAACCTCTGTTTTTAGCTCAAATGTTTTTCCATGACCTCACAATATATTATTTAATAGCTAATTTCAATGAAAATTGCTGTTAATTATCCTTGAATTTCCACATTGCCATAAATCCTTTAAATCATCATTACCAAGGTTTCATTTCTTCCATAGGACAAAAGAGAAGTAGGATAATAATAGTTAAAAAAAAAWGGAAAAGACACCGAATACAATCACATCCACTAGCAGCCATTTCCAATTGGCATCCCAAAGAAACACAAAAGTRGCCAACATTTCCTCCACAAAATATTTCTATTTTTGTTAGCAGCAACTTTCTATGCCAACAGATTTTTGCGGGTCTGTTAGATGATTATGATGCCAGATTTGTTTGTATATTGTACTTCTTTCTTTCATTTTAATGAATATTTGTGAAATCTTGGACAAATCAACAGAACTACACAATATACACTCATCTATTCAAAACTTCTGAAAGAAATACTAATCTGGAAGCATATCACCCACATACAAGAGATGAAGATTGCTAATGGGAACGACTAGTAGAGTGAAGAGACAAAGTTTGTTTGAAATTTAAATTTCACGTAGGTTTTATGTCGACTTTTTGCTCTCAGATGTATTTTAGCCACATTCAAAAATCATCATGCATTAGGGCCAGTGAGAACCACCACCTAAGCAATCAGTGCAAGGCAGAGCTGAGATACAAGGTTAACATAGCTGGGTATTTAAGAGATTAACAAAACAAACAAAGAACAAAAATCAAGAAGAAATTTCACACTCTATCTGAAATTAGAAGGTACTCTCATCAAGATGGACATTTTTTATCCAAGCACCAAAGTACTGCTAACTTAACATCTCACTTAAGATAAAGCCGATTTTGTGCATCCTGAAGATTTTATGACACTTCTCTTGTCAAGAAAAAAATGGGTAATCTAACTTCTAAGTACTGTAAAAATACAATTCAGCACAAAAGAAGTTTTGRCATATATGGTGTCATATCAAAAAATCTTAATTAAAGTATGCACTTAACGTCAATCTATTGAACACTTACATGTTATTTTGCCTGCTTGCATATTTTTATAAGTTAATAAAACACAGCGTAAAATATCTTCCCAGAATCAAACGGGAATAGAGCAGAACTCAAATCTCATGACTCATAATCAATCTTTTTAGCTGTTTCAAAATGATCATACTGCCCATTTCTGTAAAAAATAATATTAAAAAAAGGATCTACTGCAGTAGTAACAAATCTTCTGGGATTCCACATAAAAAGAAAGAAAGTGATACAAATCAGGAGTTTTATTTAAAATGCCCAATAGGAGTCTACTAAATGTACAAAATCTATTCCCATAAAGCACAAACTAGGTATCAAGCAAACATAATAACATAAATGTACTTTCCAAATAGTAATTTTTCCATCTGATAAAAAAAAAACTGTAAAGCTAAAATCAAAACAGCTTGAAAAGACTGTTAAAAACAAATAGAAATTAGAGAAAAATCAGTATTTTCTAAAATAAACTTCTGTTCTAAAATTTGTATTTATTTCAAAATTGACCTACTCTAGCCTGCCATATTATGAGCCATTCTTCAGTGAATGGGAAAGCTCTCTATATACCTAACTCTGTCCTGAGGCACCTAAAACATCCTAACGCACCATAAAAAAAGATGTTATTTCTGCTTAACACCGAAACATTACATTCCAAGATGACAATCTCATAGAAAATACTGCAACCTGAAACTGCTTTCTATTCTAGTAAGCACTGCACATAACACTGCACTACTGCCAGCACACACCATGAACTGAGGGCCAGACTAACTTCTTGATAAATATCTCCAGAGCGCTGGCAAGTTAGAGGTCCATTCAGTGAAGCTCACTGAACACAGGACACACATGAGTTCAAAGCCACGGTGGTACATCTTGAAGCAGTAAGTTTCAAATGAAAACACCCATGCCGTTTCATTCTGTAATTTGACACAACAAAGAAAGCAGATAAATGATGATATAAACAGCAGCTTCGCAGAACGGCCACCAAATGCAGCATCTCTGAAGTGAGGCTGCTTTGTGAATGCCTGCTTTGCACAGCAGAAGCCCTGCACTCGGCTGAAGCTCCTTATTCTACCTCTTGAGTATCTGGATTCCCAAAATGACCAACTTTTTCCTGCTCTTGCAATGCCTTGAATCTGGGTCATGGGGGCATTTCTTTTAACATATCTGATGTATAAATAAATATAGAAGAATTAAAAAAAAAAAAAGATAAAGAATGGATCCCCTCTCACGCACAACTAAAGGAATATGAGCATCCTGTAACGTGTTTTGGAACTCACACCATACCACAGTGAGGCTACCGCTTGAGGGCTATTTACTTCAGTTATATGGGAACTTAAATAAACACAAATACCTCCAGAACTACCTGTCTGCAATTCTCACTCTCCTAGCAACTCTTTCTTTTGCCCTATGCTACATTCCTGCTTCAGAAATAAGCTGAAGTTGGAGAAAACTGTAGTCAAAGATCTGACAGAATCAAACTTTGTTAAGAAACTTGCACGTGGAAAACCTTTCCTTTATGAGTAGCTGCACTCAAGACTACTCCTCGTTTATTCAGCAGCTTTTCGTAGACACATGCCTTCTCCTGGTTATTCTTTCACAGAAGATAATAGATAATTTGTTTATTCATAGTCTGCCTTTTCAGTCCTATAGATTCCAAGCACGGAAAGACGTTACCAGCATGTAATGCCAGCCCAATCTCTGAACCCACAGCTCGACGCCTCCTGCACTGCACACGTCTGTCAGCACAAGACTCGCAGGTGGGAAGACACTGTTATTTTTTAAGCAAGGAAGTCAGTACGCCAGGACAAGCAACGAGGTGGAATTTGAGACACAGCGATGTCCAAGGACAACCTTAAAGAGGACTGAACRTGAGGGTGTACAAAGTGGAGACTAAATTTTTGTATTCATTCATAAATAAAAAATGCTGTAGTTCCTATCACTTTTTAGTGTAATAAAAAAAGATATTCCTCTAAAGAAATGCAGAGGAACAGAACGAATCTTTAAGGAAAGAATGCAGTTAGTTGATCTACATTACAATGAGTAAAGATGACATTTCCTTGCAGTTTTGAGAAGTATTTTTTCACCTAATTCATGACTTGTTAAACATGTAACAGCCTGTAYCTTCCCTGATTAATAAACTCACTGAACGTATTAACGATTTAAAAATGAACGTGGCATTAAAACAGAGGGTCCTGTAGTCAAGATACATGCTAACAGTCCTTCTAAACCTCACTGGGCTTTGTCAAATCCAGAACACAATATTGTCTCTTGTCAATATTATGTATGTACCAAAGAATATTCCAGTTATGCAGATAAAATGATACACTGCTTACTTATTTCCCAGTGGTAAATTTCAAGGACAATAAAAATGTTTGAAACTATAAGGGATGCTTTCTTTGTAAACCAGAAGACAGAGCAAAGYCTTATTGCTCTGCCTTTGCTGAGGCTCATTTAGTTCAACTGATTTATGTTTGACTCCGCACTAATGTTCTGTGCACTGGGCCCTTGCTTTATGTGCCGCCTCTCATCATTTGTTCTCCAGGTGAAAAAAAAAATTAAAAAAGAAAAGAGAGACAGAGACCTTCTGGGCAAATGACACAGAGTGTCATTAAACCCTTTTAGCCATGAAGCTGTTGTTATTTATGTCATTCTTTAATCACATTTTCCACATCACTGTTTTTTTTTCCCTTCAGTGCAAGGCAGACATTTGCCAGGGCTCGGCACCGCTGCTGCACGTCCACCTGAACACGCTGCTCATCTCATCAGCTCAGAAATCATTACTGGCATCACAACATTATTTATTTATATATACACAGAATTAACAGTTTGGCTTTGTTAATGTAGTATCTCCAACCGCAAACRATAAATATATAAGGCATCACTAAATTGCCTCTTAAGAGTACAAATGATCGCACATGAAGATGACAGCATTGAAGAGTACCTCAAACATCTCTCCAAATGTTAAATGGAAGTGTATTAGATGCTGAATAAAAGTTAATTTAACTGAAGCCTCACACATATTTATCTTGTATAATTTAATCACATTTTACTGAGCACTGCACACAAAGTTAGTCCCCCTGTATGTGTTCAGCTCAAAGACTTAATGAAAAAAAAGTATTCCACACTTAGCTTKACATTCTTTTTCAAACACTACATTACAGTATTATGTTTCCTGTTTGCTTCATTCACATTCTTTCTCTAGTCTCATAATAATTTGACAGAAAATCATATGCAAAGGCCGGATTTAATCTTRTTAGCTCGAGGCAAAAGTTGGCCGGGCACCTAATGGTCCTTCTGAGCAGCTGTTTTGCTGCATCCTGCAGTTTGTACTAGGCTTTCAGTGCTCATAAACTAACTACTTAAGTGGAAACTGAATTTCTGCTGGTACCTAAGTGGATTCAAACAAAGACAGCACAAAGCTTGGGGTGCTGCATACAAGAGTTCCTAAACATCCTTCCCTTTTGCTTATTTTCTTCCCAATAAAATGAAATGTTTACCTAACACATTTGAAATATTTCAAGACCAATATGTTTTCCAGTTATGATCAACACTGTACTTTTAAYTATTATTTTTCCTAACAAAAATGAAGTTGAAGAAGCAACACAACATGAAGTTGTTCATTTTTGAAGGTCTCCAATTTTATAGCAGTAACATACGCCTCTATGTGCTTGTGAGAATGTATGTGTGAGGTAGGAGGAAATAATGACTATGGACTGGAGAGAGCAGCAACACACATACTCCCAATACAACCCCTAAACAGCTCAGCCTTCTTCAAGAAAGGAATGAAGAGGACTGACTTAAAGTAGCTGGAGGAAAAAAAGAAAAGCAAGTGAAAGGAAGTTCAGGAAGTTCCCCTTCAGGCACATTTTCAGTTAGCAATTTTCAGGAAAACAAGGTTGCAACAGAATAGTGATGTCTTTACGTCTAAAACCTCAGGTCTGCATTGCCAGTAAGCACACGCAAGGAAGGAAACAGCTGTAGGGTCCACACTTGACACAGCATCATCATATCAACACTGCACTTTTCTTTCAGCTCCACCTTTAGCTCAGCAGAAGTTCTGTCACCAGCAAAATTAAGCTTTCTATTCTTTCTATTTCCTAACATGTTTATGTGCTTGTGAATCCTTGCAGATCTCAGACGAGGAGAACATCTGAGACTCAGACTCCTGGACAGCTCCCCTTGGCTGCCCTAACGCTTCCCCTCAGTCGACTTAGCAGAGAGCCAGTAACCCCTGAAGAGTCGAGTGACTGCTCAGACCACACACAGTCTGTGATGGGCCTTTCCAGTAAGGAAACTGAATTTATAGCCAGGGCAAGAGTGCCATGAGTACTTCTATCACAGAAAGACACATGTTACTGCTGACTGAACTCCTAACACACGTTTCCAGCAGTGAAGCAATTGAATCAAATCACAGGAGATTTTCAGGTTGAAATAGAACCAAAGCAAAGAAGGAAAGCCTTTCCACACTAGCATGTGATGGTTTCTATGCCAGATCTTGGTCTGAAGTTATTTCATTTAGAAGCACACTGAATGCTTTATTTTGGAAACTATGCAAGAGTTYAGCATGCTTTTGAAGTCAGCAGTTTCTCTTATCTAGTGATTTTACACCTARCATTACACTACAGGATTTTTTTCCCCACATCCAAGTAGTACTTATAGCAGAGAAATACTATGGATTRGTTTTCCTATAAAACATCTGTATCATGGAATCATCAGTCAGTGATTAGCTTCAGGCTTTCACAGTACACATTTACCTTTTCACTGAGTAACAGAATATTCAAGGTTGGAAGGGACCTCTACAGATCATCTAGTTCAACCTTCCCACTCCAGCAGGGACACCTAGAGCATGTGGCACAGGGTTTCTTTTGAAGAATCAGAGTTAACATTTGCAAAAGAATGGAATCTTTGAATGTTTAAGTCAAACTCTCCAACAAACACACCTACTGAGCAATGAATAGATCCAATACGTATTATCTATCAATTATACGTTGCTGCACACAAGCACTTCCATCATAGAAYGCTTAAGGTTGGAAGGGACCTCAGAGGTCACCTAGTCCAACCCCCCTGCACACGCAGGGTCACCCAGAGCACGGGGCACAGGACAAATCATATACAGCATCTAACAGTGTCTCCCAAAGCTGTTCAAATGGCAGTACATTAGAAGCTGTTTGGCTTAATCATGTAGTTAAAAACGTGAAATAATTTTTTCAGGATCAGGACAGCCCCTTTTGTTGATGCACGATATAAGAAATTTTATGCCACAGAGGGGAGGTTTCTCAGCAAGCAGGGCTTCATAGCCTTCACAAAACTCCACACTTTTGATCTTTTGACCACACGGCATTAAGTCAGTACTGTGTGGCAGGTAGCTGTATTTCGGTGGTYCTGCTAATACAATATCCAGAGCTCAATCCTCTTTAAGTTTCTGATCATCCTGTTGGATAAGCACCTCCCAAGAATTACCTTAATAAACCTTCAATTAAGTTGGAAGCATCTGTGCACCAGTACCTGGCCACCAAGCACTGCTATGTCAGAATAAATATGTGAAATTGGTTAGTTATTTGAGTTCTGKTTTTCAAGCACAGACAGATGGAAATAGATTGAAGACTTACAAAATAAGATTCACATACATTTATTAACCAAATTTTTCACAGAATAGGAAGAATATTTGTGCATGTGCAACCCTCTCTCCTAATTTCAGTAACAAAAATAGGTATTTTTACTTGTTTACTCTCTTGATATAAGAGCTAAACAATTTCTACCACTATCAAAACTCAAGCAGATTTGAAATCAGACAAATTGAAGCCACTGCAGTGAATCTATTAATGCTCATACTGGGCCAGCATCTTCCTGCTCCTCTGCTTTCCAAACATACTCTCCAGGTCAAGACACCCCTCTCCTCCAGCCAGGCAGCAGTTATGACTGCAGGTGTAACCAGAGCTCTGCTTGTGCCCCCAGAACAGGAGCATTTTCTGGAAAATGCTGTACAGCCTCTTTGCCTCGTCTCTTTGGCCCCAGCTCAACTGCGACTGTATTAGCCAGCAGGATGCCTSACTGGCAGAAGTAGCAAAATTGATTTTTTCTTTTCTCAAGAACAAGGCACAGTGATTTCTATCAGAATGTAAAATAACTCAATAGGAATTAACTAAAGTTCTCCACAGCATAATGATGTTACTCGTTTTTGTGACAATTTGAYCAAAAATGTACACCAGAACATGAAGTATACAACGTTTTACTGGACAGAGTCATATCAATGGATGAGAGCTACATAAAATAACAGAAAGTAACTGCAACACAGTTACTGAGTTGACTAAAAAAYTTATAATCCATGTTTAAAAGGCCAAGAGAATGTTTTATAAATCATAACAGAGCCTACAAATCCATCCACAGCTAAATTGTTCTCCCTCCTTTCTCTGTTTTTAATCTATGATACACACCACCACCTGCTGGACAAAGCACAACAGCAAACACAATACCATACAAGATGTTTTTGCTGGGAGAAATTCGTTACAATGATGTTTACCTGAGGCAGATGCAAAACAACMTGGGATGTGTGGAGACCATATTGTGCTGTAAATGACCCCTTCATGGCCTTTAAAGGTGCGTAATGACTTCCCCACAGCTGGATCCCACTAAATAAAAAATAAATAAGAGGTTTATATGCGATAAAGCAGGAAAAAGTTTTCTTAAAAAAAAAAAAAGATGAAAAGTTAATGGACACTGTTGCTTAACATAAAGAAATATCAGTTCCAAAACAAATCACATTTTTGCCTTCAGTAGAAACACAACATACCAGCTTGGCTGTTTGATCCCATGAACCAGATACCACTAGCTGTTCTCCTCTAGTTTGACTCCAGTCAACACTATATGCCTAGAAAAGATAAAACAGCCTAGTTTAGAAACAGCATTAGCAGACATGTTTGATCAGCCTAAGTTCCATGAAGTACACCTGGAATTACAAATTTTAACACAGTTAAAAAAAAAAAAAAAAAAAAGAGCTGCCAATGTTGTCATTTACCTGAGCAAAAATTAAATTTATAACATCTCAATCTGGTGTTAAAAGCCCACAAAGCTCAGAAAAATATCTAAAAAGATAAATGAGATTTAGACAATAAAAAGAATGTTAAAATTCTGCATGGACTCACCACCATTGGAAGGTTCTTCCACGGTTGTAGGTTGTAACACAGACTGACTTCTTACCTCCAATCCAACATTACTTAAACATTCCCAATTTCTAATCCCTAACAGTGTTAATGACATGTCTCTTTAGAGCTGATGGCGGGTCAACGTTGAGGTTTTAGCTGACTAACAACAAATACTTCTTAGTAATTTTTAATTATGTGCATCTTTAGGTTTCCTAGAATGTCCACGACCACAGAATATAACCCTACATAGGTAAGTTACATAATAGGGTGTCAGGTGGAATAGATACCCTAAAATACTCTAATATTCAGACTTACTGTTTAGTAATATTTGTATTACAATTCACTTCATACATACATCGTATTGTTTGCTCTATTCCTTCAAATTTTTATCTTGCCCTGAAATGCTGGCTATTCACTGTGTGACAAATACCAGAGCTCCATAACCTAAGGAGGAAGAACATGCAGTTTTAACCTGAACCACTTCAGGGCTAGAAGTGGATAAAGATGAGCTTAAACAGTTCATCTGTCCGAGCTCCTGACCCAATGTGGCCTTCCATGGCACACTTCCCAGCAACATGGTAACTACCCAGCAAGCGTTACTCTCAGCAGCTGCACCACTGCTCAGGGATGTGCACTCCAGCGAGGACAACCTCGTGCTAGCACATCGATGAGTCGCAGAATCATAGAATCATTAAGGTTGGAAGGGACCSCTAGAGATGATCTAGTCCAATCCTCTGGACACCCAGAGCACGGGGCACAGGGCGGCATCCAGGCGGGTTTGGACGACCTCCAGAGAAGGAAACTCCACAACCTCCCTGGGCAGCCTGTGCCAGGGCTCTGCCACCCTCACAGGAAAGAAGTTCTTCCTCACATGGAGATGGAACTGCCTGGGTTTCAATTTGCACCCATTACCCTTGTCCTGTCACTGGCCACCAGTGAGAAGAGTTTGGCCCCCTCCTCCMTACATTCTCCCCTGAAGTATTTGTACATGTTGATAAGATTCCCTCTCACCAACAACATGCCACATACCCTCACTACAGCTGCAGCGTAACTGGTCCCACTCTCCTGCATAGACAGAATCATACATTAAATTAAAGCAATTCTATTTCAAAGGTCAAAGTGTTTGGACCTATGTTACCAGAGGAGGAAAAGAAAATGGAAATGAAAATCAAAGAAGCAAAAGCCAAAGTCGTAAAACTTCATTTCATACTGTGCTGGATTCAGTGTCAAATGAGTGTTCTTCATCTGTTTGCTTATTTCATATAAGTGAAAAACAATCATTGCCCGAGGAAAAACAGTGCATCATCTGCAACATATGCATTTTTTTTTTAATCTTACAATGTCATGTTTCCCATATCCCAAAAACGTATGCTGCTCTAACATCATGTGGTGCTGGTTTCTTTTGTTGGAGGTTCACAAACCACGTGTGAGACRCTAGAGCAGGATTTGACAAAAACTATACAAATAATGAATTGAGAGTTACTTTTTTGTTTACCTGTCCAAGCCACACGTATATCCCTTGGGTTTTCTACTTTCGTCAACTATCTAGCGCTACCCCAGCTCATTAAAATACCCTCCTTTCAACCTGCCTCAGTCTATTAAAACAATATTTAAAGACAAAAATCTAACTGTTCAAATTTTAAGAATGAAAGGTGATCTCAAAGCAGCTCCAGGGCTCCTCAGACACGTTAACCTCCCTCCTTCCCGCTGCATCTGTCAGTGTAACTGATGGTGTAACTGGGTGCAACTCGTGAGCTGTCGCTGTGCAGTGCCCTTACGTGGGTYGCTGGGCAGCAGCCTCTTTCAGGCAATAGCTGGACAAAGGCAGATGCAGTGGAGGTGTTGGGCTCTCAGACTCCTGTCTGGAATTGCCAAGGAAGAAACATGTGTCTGGGAAAACATGCATCTCTATCACGTATTCAGCTCACCCCACATATTTCAGATACGTGACACGTACTAGACAGGTAACACAAAGCACACATATGGCTTCCAGCTYGCTCAAGCTCAGCATACAGCTCTGCTATACACATGCTGTCATATTGATGTGGATACATATGGCAGCCACGAGCAGGCCTGCCCAGCAGCTGCACCAGAGGTAACGGCACCTGCACAAACCCTCCTCCCGGCAAGACGGGCACACATACAACAGACTTAGGAAAGGCACGAGCTATTTTTCATGGCATGTGACAGGTTTAGGTACTGGGAAAGGAATGAGAAGAGGAAAATGTGGGCAACCAAGTACGGTGAGTTTGATTCTTCCTGCCTTTTCACATCTGTCACCCAATACTAATTTACAGATGCTTCCAAAGAAGCTGTGTTGAGCAGCTTCTCAAAATACTAAGAACACTGCATAAACTTGAATCCAAAACATCCATCCTTTAGGGCTTTATTTATAATCATAGAATGCACTAATGCTATTTATGCCTAAACAGCAGCAACAAATGCTATAGGTAGAATCAAACAGAAAGATATAAATATATATAAAAAATCAAAATAAATGTTAAGACATGAGTTACAGGACAAATTTAATGGAAATACTCTTTTGTCTCACATTCCAGGGAGACTTCATCAAAACCAAAGTAAATTAGACTAATTTATTCATGAGATTCAGCAGTTGGTTAGTGCTGGAATAAAACTCATTGTCCTTTCATAATAAAGATGTGGTTTAAAATTAAAATTGTATGTTCTTTCCAAGAAAGGACAATGATCTCATTTAGAAAATAGGAAACTGATCCCTGTCAATCTTGCCTTAGGAATAATTATAAAACTTGSTGACAAAATACTCATTAAAGGTGTCAGAAAGGGATTAAGGATGAAGGAGGTAGTCAATCACTTCAAAGAGCACTGTCTGCCAGTGTTTAYCACAAAATAAAAGCTATATTCCCACTGAGATCTATCGTCTTAATGCACGCTTACAAGAATGAAGACAATCCTCTCACATCTCACAATAAACAGCCCATGTGTCCTAAACTGTCTTTCCAACTCATGGTTGAGTGCATCAACCTCCCCATGCTCCCTGCTAAACCAAGACTTGGATGCAGAAATTCATATTTTACAGACAACAGATGGTGCAGCAGAACCAAACTGATCTTATGGACAGAATTTCAATGAGAAAAATGGTATGGACAAAAGAATTTAGTATTAAGCTTTGCCAATATTTTTCTATTACTACCATCAGTCTCTTAACACTATCATAAAATCCTCATCATAACCACCAAGTAAATTCCTTATTTACATAATTTGACAACTTTTGTCTATTGAGCCAAAGTAGGAAAATTACAAAGCAAACAGGTACAGAAGACTCTTGGGTAGCTGCAGTCACAGAGCTTTTAGATTTGTGCCTCATACCTGAAAGAATCAAAGGGTTTCATGAATATATAACTGGCCTCCCATGGTCGTTTTTTGCTGACTACATAGCCACTAGCTGGTTCTCTCATGATGATGTATTTTATTCATATAGGTAGCAGTAATCCAGGCAACAGAGAGACTAAAACCAATCATATCAGAAGGTAAGAGAGCTGAGAGAAGACAACACAGGATTAGAAGGAAAGCACGAAAGAACTTTTAGTTCATTCCTTATCCTGCCTACCTGTCCAACAACCGTCAGTATTGGGTGCTGCTTCCTTATCCTGAAACAGCACAGCATACCATCTACAAAATCATCTTTATTATTGGAGKTTTTTTTTCCTAAACTTCTCAGCAACTGGTTTGTGGTCTTAATACAATGTAAGGGTTAACTAAAATTTCTGATAGACAGTTTACAGTAAGTCACTGGATCAGCACTCTATCAAGCCAATGCCTTTCTTCAGAGCCTACATTGTTTTAAGTCTCTAATAAATAGCTCCTTATTTGTGAAAGAAGTTACTGGTAACCATCCATTTTACAAAGGGCATGCATCTATAAMGGACTGAAAACCAGTAGCATGCTAAATGCTATAACACTTTAGAAAAATTCCTTGGGGGAAGACAAATATACGTTTGCATAATGCAAATGCATTTGTGAAGATGAATACATTTTTTTCCTACCAATATCGCGTAACAAACAAATAGATTTTTAAAGAAAAATATCAATGATATCAATCCAAGGCTAAGAAAGTTCATCTTTTCCCAATACCTATGTTCTTCAGAGTAGGACTTCACAAATGCTGTAACAGAAAAGGACAAGCAGCTCCTGGCACAACAGAAGCCCTAAGGATCTGTGTAATTTCTGTCGCTCTGTATCCTCAAGCTAACACTGCTACACCAGCTATCTGATTTAGACCTATTCGATGATGTTCTCTGGAGTCACAGAATAGGTTCAATACTTTCACACAACTGAATGACTACTTAGCTTATAAGGAACCACAAACATTACTTCTGAATATATTAATGTGATTAAGTGATRCCTGCTATAGGATACGGATACATGAGTATGGATGGTTTGTAATTCACTGCATAATTACAATAATGTTAAATTCAGACTACACACCCAAGTTAAGTGAAAAAAATAAACAACAAAAATACATTTGACAATGAGCCCCCAAATAACCCTGTCAGCAGGTCAAGCATTAGACAGGCCATGAACATTTTCAAGCTTTCCTGGTTTACCTCCTGAGTGTGTTCCTTATAGACTTGCAGTGGACCTGTGGTTTTAGCTGTATCCCAGATTTGCAGAGATCCATCCCCACTAGAAGTGATGAGCACGTGTTCATTGTTCTCACTCCACGTCACATCAAATAGACCATCATTCCAGTCAAAACTAAATCAGAACAATTAAGATATTTGTCCATGAGAAAGCATGACATACATGTTTGGACTAGTAGAGATTTATATTACTTTAAGACAYCCTATTTACCATTCTAAATATCCTTTTGATATATTTGCTTTTCTAGTGAATCTCTTCACTAGTGACTTGGTTGGTATCATGAGAACTTTTACCTACAAACATTCAACCTGATAAGGTTAAAGTATAAATGAGCCAAGGATCTTCAACATAGTGAATCAAGTCTGATTGTATTCCTGAATTTTAATAATTGTGGTAAACAAAAAAATAAAAATCTCAGTTTTGAAAATGCTCTGTCCAATCCAGAGCATCAATATAAAGCTAAGGTATAATGAAAGCCCAGCAGAAGCACAGTCATGAACATACTAAAGATCTGCATACCCCCTAAAAAGGGCTTTGACACACCAACAATGAAAAAGTACCATGTATCGGGCGCTCTGCCCATGCCCACGCAGCTATCTTATGATAAATATGAAGTTATTTACCACCTTTTGACAGAAGGGACAGCTAAATTCAGGTTAATTTCATGGCACCCTGCAGTAATTATGAGGAAAAATCCTGCGCATCAAAGGTTTCTGAAGAAAACACGACATAGCTCACGGCTCAGAAAAACACAGGCCTTTCTACCACAAATTAAGTGAAGTCTCTAGAAATACAGAAATGAACATCACTAAACTACAGTGTACAGCAGAACTAATGGAGTGATTAATAGCTACTAACAGCCTTGTTATATAATTGTGAATTAAAATGCATTATAAATATGATAAACTGCATCACTCTGTTTTGTATTTCTATTTCAACTACCAGGATAATAAGCAATTGCTATTAAACTATAGGACATTTTAGGTGAATGATGACGGAGCACTAAACSCCCTCGTCCCTAACCTTTGTATTCCTCCCATCCAGCATATCAGTCACACTTCATGAGTACTGTGTCTCCTGGAAAGGATCTGCATAACAGGTTTCCATGCTTCATTTTCAATATAGCCATTCAGAAAGGTTCAAATTTAGGTGGCAGTGCACTGCTCCTAAAAGCTAAAATTTCTACTTTCAAGCTTGTAAGTATAAACCTGTATTACCTTCTGAGAAGAACAATCCCAGCTTCTTTTTGTTCCAGCACTACCAGAGTTCCACAACCTAGAACAACAAAGTAAAACAAATCATCACAACCAGCTCCTATATGCCGATGCAAGCTGGTCTGCTGAGGTACTTATACTGTGCAAACATGGAAAGCATCCGAATTTCTTTAACTGGAATGAGTTATAAGCATGAACAGTTCCTTTAATCTGCCTTATGTCTCTAAAATAGTATTTCAGTTATATTTTTTTCAGTATATGTGTAGTTAGGGTTGGAAAAGAAGCAACACATGTTAAAAAAAAAAAAAAAAAGAAAAAAAAAGGCACAGAAAGTGTATTTCACCTATTCACCTACATACTCTGTTAAAGTCATACCTTTCTGGTCTTAGATCTTTTGACAACCCAGTAAATACTCTTTTCAAGAGCAGAGAGGAAAAAAAAAATCTATTTAGCACACAAAGAGATCATCAAAAATAAAGCAAAGATACTTGTTTTATTCATTCTCATAGGGTACTACTCTCCTGTGTGATTGGGGTAATGCCAAAGCAGCATTTAGAAACTTTATATAAAATGCTTTTAGGGATATTGGTCCTAGAGGAAATAAAAGTGACTCCAATGCTACGAAAATCTTGGTTTTTCTCATCAGAGGCCAGGACAGGGCTGCCAGGACCTTTCTGAAGAGAGTCCTGAAGAAGAGAACTCCAGAAATACTGGAGACCAGAAATTCCGAAGGAGAATTTTTAAAACATTTTCTTGTGTTTGCCTCCTGTACCCTGTAAGAAGCATACTGCTTCTCTGAAGTCTATACTTCCCCGAGTTCTTATAATAAAATAAATAAATTCAAAGTTTTGCATTTTCTCAAGTAGGAAAGCTTACTTGGTCGGAGACAAGCATMAGACTGGCAACCTGATCTGAAATCAGCAGCTTGCTAAAATTAACAGCTTTCTCTTGAAAGAGAACGGAGGCATGAACTGCACCCACGCAAAACAAAACCAAGGGGAAGGGCACACGCGACGAGCTGCGAGAGCCATCTGTGAGAGCCGTTTATAACCCGTGCCTACACACGGGCACACACAGAGCGCGCGAACACGCAGCACCCGAGGGCAGCAAGTGCCTTGAACTCCTAACCCACGAGGGCAGAGCTCACAGTAACCACTCTAGAGAGGCCTGGGGTGCTCTTTAATAACTATAATAAGGGATGAAATAATAAGGGTGTAGAATAAGCAGTACAAGGGGGTGCGGGGTGCTGTTTCCGGGGAGTGAGCACCCAAGCTGCAGGGCAGGACGAGCGCGGGCCCCTCTCGCCGCAAGGGCGCCCGCCGCCTGCCCGGAGCCCGGTGCCCCGGCCCCGCCATGGCCGCGGCGGAGCGCCCGGCCACAGCCCCTCTGCACGGCGCGGCGGCGGCGAAGCAACCCCAAGGAAGCGGGCGCCGGCCGCCAGCCGCGCACCGGGACCCGCGCCCAGGCTCAGGGCAGCCCCGCTCCGCCGGCCCGGCCGCGCTCGCAGCGCGGGCGTTAACGGCTCTAACGGCTGCGGCGCACCTGCGATGCCGTAGTACTGCGCGGCGGCGCACGCCACGCGCCCCGGCCAGTAGGGCGAGAACTCGGCCGCGTAGCCGTGCAGCCCCGGCAGGCGCAGCGAGCCGCCGCCCGCCGCCCCCATGGCGCCTTCGCCGCCGCCAGCGGCCCGCGACGCCGCCCGCGGATGGGAGCGGGGAGGTGGACGGGCGAGCCGCGAAGCGCCGCCGCGGCCGGAAGCGACCGCCCGCCCGCGTCCCTGGGGCGGCGTTGAGGCGGTGCCGCCGCCATCTTGGGTGCTGGCGCCACCCGCGCCTCTGGGGCGGCACTGAGGCGGCGCCGCCGCCATCTTGGGTGCTGGCGTCGTCCCCCGCGCCTTTAGTGCCCGCTCCCTGCGAAGAAATAAAAGCTTTTTTTTTTTTTCTGTTCTTTTTTTTTTTCTATTTCCTTTTTGTTTGTTTTTTTTTTTKTTTKTTTGTTTTTGGTGTGTGTTTTAAGGCTGTGGGACCACAAATTTGTTCCTTGATACAGTGTACTTGATACTGTAGTTTGATATCTGCACCCACGTGATTCCTGGGATTAACGGTTATCTGACCGGGACAAGGCTTCCGACCACTCGCTGTCTGTTCTGTGGGTGTGTTCTGTGGTAAATAATTCCACAAATATATATATATTTGGTGGGCAAAAAAAAAAAAAAAGAGTTTTCCAAACGGCAGGGACTATCCCCTTGAGATATATCTGCTCACCCTGTCAACACATTTGAATAGATGGGATTTTTGGATCCGGATAGGTGTACTGTCATTCCCCTAAAAAGCCCTTCCAAATTATTCTGATCTGCCATTTGTTGAGTCAGTCTGCCTCCATCAGTATTTATCTGCATAAATCAGATATTGTTCATCATCTTTTGCGTGTTGCAGGTATGCTTTATGGAAGCTGTTTTATGGACAAACTTTTTCTTATTGCTATTATTTTGCCTATTATTTGTATTACTTTTTTAATTACTATTATTTTATTATTAWTTTTATATATTATTGTTTTTAATGGCAACTTCTTTAAAGTTATTGAGTTTTGCTTTTGAAAGCAAGAGGGGCTCAGGCCTAGAGATGTACTTGAGAAGCTCATCAGCTATAACTTTTGATATGTTTTACCTTGGAGTTTAAAATATACATGGTGATGATTYCAGCTGGGCATGGGCTAGTAAGTTATATAATGACCCACTTGCATGTGTTGTGATGAAGACAGAAAATTACTATTTTACACATGAAGAAAGCAAGACAAAGAAGAATCAAATAATTTAATCCAAGCTACCTCATGGGTCTTGGAAGATAATTACATAATCCTGCTCTTTGTTTAAATTTATTTTAAACCTTAGCTAAACCTTCTGAGTCTTAGCTGCAAAATCTATTGTAAAGCCCCATGAATATATAATTCCTTAAACTGACACTCAAATTTACATCACTGAATTATGCAATTTTACTAATCCTTTGATCTTGTGGTAAAAATGAAGTCAAACACTGTTGTGTATCAAACAGCCRCCAGGATTTTATAACAAAAACAATCATAGTGCAAGCGTAGCTCAATGCAGCGTGTCATTTGGATTATCTAGTAGGCACAAAACCTCATAGCAGCTTCACAACTGACTACTGCAGGTCAAATCCCGGGAATTTCAGCCTCTGTGATGTCCTTTTAAATCAACGTGCCTCTCGGAGACAAGAATCACGGGAGAATCTCCTGGGCAGGTGTTTTTACAGTAATTGTCTTTTGTGATTGGGAGGTCAATAACAACATATAAAAATCTAGATACCCTCAGCAGTAGCCTGGTAAGTAAATCTGGATGTGGCCCTTGGCACAGGATTGTTCTGGGCTCACATGCTCAGTGGCGCAACCTCTAGCTGCTTGACGGACAAGTTACCCGTTGTGCATCCAAGTAGTGGAAAGGGTTCATCACGTGCCTTCTCAAAGTAGCCCACAAATCCAGTTCATCTTTTAGAAGCAACGAACTCCCACAAAGAGGTTATACAAACAGAAAGCCATCCTCACCAGGGGCACAGCTCTGTTTCAAAGACAGCTTAGAAAAAAAATAATAGACAGAAATATCAAGAAATGGAGAGAAGATTACCAGGAAATCCTGAAAGAAGGACCTAGTTTGTTTTAATAGCTCCCAAATAGTTTTCTTWTTCAGAGAAAAGCTTGTGAATTCATTTTTTTAAAGATATTTAGAAGCAGGATGTAGAATAATATGGCAAGTATTTACATAGGAAATGTGAAGGTAGATACACCAGCAACTAAAGAACTATTTTTCTAGCAGGTCCACCAAAGAGAGCTGCTACGTGTGCCTGTACTTCCTCCTGAACCAGGTGAACCCGATGGAAACGCCCCAGGAGCCAGGTGCACCAAGGAAGAGGAGCACATATGCAGCCGGAAGGTATCAGTAGATGGCAGCGAYGCTCCACTTCAACACCCGTATCCCACAGCTCTGCAGAAGGATTCCCCACAGCACTCGCGTGTCTTTCTGCTAACTCAAGCTCACTCAATTCAGCTAAACTCCTAGGTAATTACCACACAGCTTGTAGTTATATTTATGCTGCAGTCACTTGACTAAGCCTTGCTAGTGTCAGAGCGAGTAGCTGCAGTGCTTACAGCAATATCTCTGCACCCAGTTTGCCTCCTTTCCAGTCTGCTGGGCTGTTTTATTGCAGATACATTTCAATCATCTCCTCAGCTTGCTGGTTGATAGCCAGCTTAGGTGTGAGTTGAGCCAGGACATTCTTTTCTGCCTTTTAGTTACAAGTTTCATGCTCTCACGGTTTTCTTTTATGACAGTGAGTGCTCACTGACTCATAGACTGTACAGATTAACAGAAAAGTARAGGTTTTCCCAAGTGAAATTCCAGGCTCTATGAGTTGAAGCCTTAGGAAAAGTCTCAGGGTTCATAGTTAGATTGGAAAAATAGGCAAGAGTGGAAATAAAAATAAAGAAAGAAATAAAGAAAGAAAAAAGGTGAAAGTTTGGGAAAAGGGAAGATAAAGGAGGTTGGAGCAGTGAACACAAGGGCAAAGACTCAGAGTCACAGGGTGAAAGTGAAGCTAGTAAAAGGAAAAGGCAGTTAGCAAGGAGACTGCCTGGGAGGACGGAAAGAATGAAAGAAGGAAGAGGACAGAAAGACACTGGAAGGGTGGAAGAAAGATGGAGTGATTCAGGAAGAAGTGTGACACCTGCCATGTGGAAAAGATGTATGAGCAAAGGGCATGTTTTCACCCTACTCRATCTGTTGTTTCACAGCACAGTGGCTTCAAGATCAATCCTGAYCAGCTTTCTGCTTGCGGGTACCAGGTCATGGCTTGATAGGTGAATTTGTCACATTCTTACTGTTACACAACCAGCTGCCTCCCCACAGAACCACCACCACTCTCAATTTACTTGCTTCTTACTACCTGAGTACTCCCTTACACCTGAGTCCCATTCTAGATGTGTCTTTGAATAAATAAACAAACAACTCAGTAGCTGGTACCCTGTTAACAAAATACTGCCCTCTCCATACTGAGCATGAAAGATACCTCTGTAGTTAGTTTCCACTATATATATATTTATAAGCTACCATTATATATAYATATGTATATGGCTAACTTTCATTTTGGAGAAGATTTAACAGTTAACAGCAATTGGCTTATTTCAATACCTAGTTGCTTAGGAGAGTTCTCTCCTATGGCTCAGAGAAACAGGATTAGTTTGTGCACTTTAAAGATCTTGTTTGGATTTTTGTATCCACAAGTTTCTTTATACGCCCTGTCTTGACCCATAACAAGCATATTGGACTCTGCATTTGCAAACTTTTTTCCTGCTTATTAATGAAAAATTTACACTGTTTGCAATTTCTCATTTTTTTAATGTTGTGGTATAGATAAGAAGGTCTTAAAATCAGGATGAAACTTATCATCCACTTTAAAACCCAATAGCCATCAAGTAAACTCGATAGGCACATTCATCTACAGTGTTTTTCTCCCCCTTGCCGAATATTGATGGTGATAAAACATTAAAATCATAATTTGGCCAAAATCTTTTCCATTGTACTTTAGATTTCATTTCTGTAAATTGGAACACATCCGGGGTAATTGCCCTTTTTTTGACTTGGATCTTTTTATTGCTACTATCAACAAATAAATCTGTGGTGTCTGTCATATGCTGACACATCAAAAATTGCATTTATGTTTGAAATTATAAAAAAAGCAAATTCTTGAATGTTAAAATTTGATTAAGAATAGAGGTAAATGGCTAATGACTCTAACAGCATATCATGAAGATATGGGGATTGTTACTTCAAGAATTTTTTCTTCGAGAATTTTACATATAACTGCTTCTTTAAAATTCTGCCCCCCCCAAACAAACAAACAAACAAACAAAAGACTGAATGGAATCAAGGCTGTGTTTGGTGCTAAAAATATTAACTACACAGCACTAAAAAAAAAAAAAACAGTTGAATAAGGTAAGTGTACTCTGAAACGGGATATTACTTTGAATTTAAAAAAAAAAAGAAAGTCTTTTGAATAATCATCTCCTAATCAAGCCCCAGATTGAAGAGCTCCTAAATGTATGGTTGCACACTTCAAGGAGTGAATACATTAATAAAACATGCTTTTCCTTTATATTAAAAAATAGGCAATGTGCCTATTCTTCCATATTAATCAGTGTGTGTCTTTTTTTGTCTATTAAGGGACCAACCTCGCTTGCAGACAAGTCAATAGGGAGAAAAAAAAAAAAAAAAAAAGCCCTGTTGAGTGTGGAATGGCCGAGGTATTAATAACGAAGCAAGTGGGTCACGCTAAGTGAAATAGCGCGTGTCTCCTCCTTTCATTGGCGACTTCCTCCTGGGCTCCACAAAGGGGCTCTTCCAGGGAACAGCACAGAGACACTTTGTTCTCTGTTCACTTCCTGCGCTCTGATGAGACTGCCTGCCATGCAGGGCTCGATGCATTAACACCGAGGCTGCCTTTTGTGGAAAACTACATTATTTAGAAAAACACCGAATGTGGTGAGAAACAATAGCCCACTGTAAATGACCCATTAGCAAATATTAACTTTTGCCTGTAAATTGGTCTTTAGTTTGCTCGTCACCTTCCCACCCCATTTGTTATCAGGAGAAGCAAATGCCAGGCATATCTCCTTGGAAAAGGGGCCTGATCCACACAAAAGCAAACAGGGCTACTGAAGGTACTGCAGTGACTAATCTGCCTTAATTAGTCCAGAACTGATCCTCTGTCGACAGAGGTCATGGGAAAACAGTGATACAGGAACAGGCTCAGCGCCAACAAGATGATTAGCCTTAACAAGATAAATGTTAATGGGACAGACTTATTGATAATACAAATAAACATAATTGTAAATATGTTGAGCACTATTTTTCCTTCATGCTTCCCTGGAATCTACTCAGTACAGTTCCCCTGACACAAGGAGAATCGAGTAATCATGAGGATTTCGCTGTACTTTTGTTCAGACGCAGACTCAAGAACTCTACCCCATTTCCTCTTCAAACCCATTATGAAATTCCCGTGATTCATTCTTGGCCTGCAAACAATGTGAGGGTTTTTGTTTGTTTCTTTTTTTTCCCTAAGTTTTAGTCTTAACATTATATATTACTTATTTTATATATATATATATATATATATATTGATCTTAAGCTCTCTTTTTACTGACTGCAAGGACCACTATGCCAAATTAATGTTCCTTCGGGGAACACAACAGTTATTTAGATTAGATTAGTTTGCTATTCTGTGAGGAAATATTTGTTAAATATCGAAAGCCAAAGCGCCCACGGAAGACAGGCTGCAGGTGAATATAGCAGCATAATCTATTTAATCAAAACACAGGGCCCAAATGGGGCACTCTTTTTAAAAGCACGAGCCGGGTACTGCTGAAAGCAGCCACAAAACCTGCACTTGACTTGAGGCCACTCGGGAACATGAAGGGGAAAGTTTAAGCAGGAAGAAAAGTAGAAACCAGGGGTTAATGATTATTAAATCCTGACAGCACTTTGGGCTCTGGACAAACACACAAAGCCGCTCGCTTGCCCCTAAGGCCTTGCAGTCCAGTTAAGACCAGAATAACGTAAGAGAGGGGGGGGAAAAAAAAGAAAAAAGCGGAGCAGCGGGAGCAGTCCTGAAGTAAATAAGTAAACGGCAGAATTCCCCTCGGCGCTCCGGAGCCATTACACACGGCTCAGTTTTGCGCGGGCGCGGGTTTGTGCAGGCTGAGCGAGCATGTGCCAGGACAAGCGGCTCTGAAGCTGCGGGCGGGCAGGGCCGGTTCCGCCGCGGGACACGGCACCGGCACCGGCTCCGGCTCCGCTTCACGGGCCGCCTCAGGCGCGCCCCGCGGCGGCCCCCTCTGCCCGCGCCGCCAACCGTCGGCGCGGCCGTTACCGCAGGGCTGGCGCGAGGCGCGAACCGGCCCCAACGGCCGCGCGGCGCTTTGCGGGGCTCCGCGGCCCCCGCCCCGCTCCCACGCGCCGGGAGGGGAACCCGCTCGTGCGGAAACCCGAGCGGGCCCCGCCGCGAG